ATCATTAGACTTTGATTCAATCAATTTTTAATATAGTTCTGAAAGATTGCATAATATGAGTCACTCCTGAATGTGTTTTCTACCTTTAGTTGTTTTTATACTAATATAATCCTTTGCATCTGGCAATAATCTGCTATTACTATCATCTTCACAATTGTTTACAATTTGATTTATAGCTTTAAAAGTCATTTTTTTGGATTTCTTATTTCAGTTGCTCTCTCGCCAATTACTTTAGTGTCCCGCAAAGCTTGTTTTACCATATATTTTGTTGTTTTAAATTCATCTATTATTTCCTGAATGGTCCAATGGACAGAAACTAAGGTAAGTAATTTATTTTCTGTGAAATACTATTCTCATTATGAAACTTTTGTTCTAGTTGTTCTACTAAAAAAAATCTAAAGAGGAACTACTATAGAGGTCGCGTAACTATATACCTGTCAGCTGTCAGAGGTAACTATATACCTGTCAGCTGTCAGAGGTAACTATATACCTGTCAGCTGTCAGAGGTAACTATATACCTGTCAGCTGATACATAAAGCTGACAGCTGTTTCAAATATTCAAAAACACCAGATACTCATTGGTATCCAGTTAGTGACAAGATTGCCACTTTACATGTGCCTGAGCTCCAAAACACAAGAGGGCTTTATTCCTATCTAATAAAAAAAAAGAATTAAATAAATTATACTGTATTAATTGTTTTGAATTAGCAACTAATTATCAATTAAAAAGCAAAAACCAAACCTAATAATTTAAGCGATTAAGCATTTTAATAAATATTTTTGAAGCACCCTGATGTATCATGTGTATCCCCTTGATATATTATGAAAGTCTTATGAAAAATTGTTCAACATTAATTTTATAAAACAACAAAAGTCTTTGACTTTGAGATATAACACTCTTTAATTGTGTAAATTATGTTTAAAGTATCATTATTTACCAATAATACCGAGTTTTAGTTAGTTATTGCCCCTTTATTTGTGCCCCTACCCAGGTTAAAAACCAGATCAGCATGGGGGCAATTAACCATATCTTTCAGTTTTTCAAGAAACAACTTATAAACAGTTGCACCCATTGAAAATGCTATTAGGCAGGTTGGGGGCGCTGGTTTTCAATAATGCGTTCCACTCTGTATAATTGAAAAATAGGGTTATTTTGAAATGCTGCCATACAGAATACAACAAGTAAAAAATGGTTCCATTTTCAGATAGTTGGATCTTATGGTCTTAACTTAAAAACAGTTGCACCCATAGAAAATGCTATTAGGCAGGTTGGGGGGGGGGGCGCTGGTTTTCAATAATACGTTCCACTCTGTATAATTGAAAAATAGGGTTATTATGAAATGCTGCTATTTTTGCTGAGAATGCAACAAGTAAAAAATGGTTCCATTTCAATACAAAGTGTTAGAAAATATTACGAGCATTTCAAAATGGCTGAAAATAGGACTTTTTGGCAAATGGACATTTTTAGATATATTTCAGTTCTAAACTGCAACAAGCGGCTAATTTTTTGCCTAGTTGTTGCATGGATTGTTGATGAATAAAAAACTACTAGAGTTAACTTCATTTTGGCCTTTTTTAGCATTTTTCAATTTTTTTTCAAAGTTGATGAGGCTATAATTTTTTTCTAATACGATACAAGTTAACAAAAACCAGTATTTTTAACACAGAACTACCCAGAAAACACTTCTAAAAAAATGAGTCACTTGTTGAAAGATAGAAAAAAGTTATGGCGCTTAAAAGTAGTCTGTTTTTACAATTCTTAAAACAAGGGGGGCCACTGTGCAGAATTTATAAAGCTATATTTTCTTAACCGTTGCACTTGGAAGTCTGAAATTTCAAATTTAATCTATCTACATAATGTAGAAAATGATATGTAAAAATCAGCAAAATCTGAGATGGTACCCCACAGGCCATTGGTTGAAATATAATGATTTGACTCAATAACAAACTGTTTTGTTACATACAGTGCTTGAAATGAGGTGAAATGCCATCTATAGTCTTATCTATTACATTTGTGAGACTTATGTGAGATACCATATATAGCCTTTGTATAAACCTGTTACTTTTATGCATTCCTTAACAATGGTTAAACTGAATGATCTTTTTAAATTGAAATCATTATTTTTCTCCACTTTGAACACTAGTCATTATCTTGGCTATCCCTATTCATGGCCTACTTAAATTACACGTCCGGATTTGTTGTATTTTCTGTAAAAAATTAGGTGGCCAGTTTTTTCAGTTTATTCCAATAACACAGAATACTGAAATAGGCTTTCAGATAGCTATATTTTTACACAGACCAACATGCTACTAAAAATAACCTTACATGTTGCTAAGATTGCCTAAAACTCTTCATTGAAAAAAAAATCAAAGGTTTGTAGTTTTGTATTTTTTATAATTGAAATTAAAAGAAGAAATACTTTTTACTAGGAATATTTATTTTGTCTTTGTCTTTTTTGGAATTCTTTTACTTGATCTTTTCTCAATGAATATGTAAAAATTATTATTAAAAATACGAGATCTATATTTGATTCCCACTTCTGGTGCTTTTTAGTAAAATTGTCATTGCTACAACAAATCTATAAAATTTGTTTTGCAAGTTTTTAATTGAAAAAGAATGACTGCAATGTTTTATTAGAATAAGAGAAATAACATACAATACTAAACAGAAGACAAACTAAGTTAGACAGGTTGAATTGGATATATAGGTTCTTCTCTGTATAAAGTAATGTTTATTGATCATAAGTTTAACATCAAAATCTTTTTGTTAATTTTTACCATTATTACTTGCTTTAGTATATAAATCTGTGCTATCTTCAAAAAGCTGACTCTAGTATTTATGTAGACAACTAAGCTAAATCTTGCATGATATTTTTTAATGATTATCAAAATTCTGATAAATATTTTTTTATCTGGAAAATCTGCAAACATCTTTTTACTAATGCAAGTTTCTAAAAGACTCACAAAAAGTCTACTACTGGTCATTTAACTATACTTACTAAAACCTAGCTCCAAAAGATTATTTTATAAATTGGAACTAAGAACAACTGCAAAACCTTCTTTAAGAATATCATTCATAAGAGATACAGTTGCTTGTAGTGTTGTTAGAGCACAAAAAGTTTTTTTGGTTAATGTAAAATATTTATTAATGTAAAGTTTTTTGGTTAATGTAAAGTATTTATTTTATTTTGATTAAATTTCAGTACAATTTGCAATTTCTCTATAACGTGTGGGTTTGTTATCACCTTTTAAAGCAGCGTTGCTGTGTTTGATTGGATAAATTAAGTTTCTGCTTTGAATTAAGTATTATAAATAACTTGTAAAATAATGATTAAAAGTGTGTTGTATTATTTTTCAGGAAAATAACTCTAAATTACAGCTGCAGTTGTTTCGTCAAATATTGTCAATGTTGACAACTTGTTTCTTGTTTCCAAAATATGTGACTTGATAATTAATTTTACTTGCCTTTTTAATAATTGTTCTTTTAATAAAACTTTAAGAAATATATTCCCTGCAATCTAACCAGCAGTAACTTTAACATAGTCTCTGGAAAAATCAAATGAATAGAATAAGTTTTTTTTTTTTTTTTGCGTTTAATAAGTTTTTTCTTACATTTTTTATAAAACAAAGTATATCAAATAATAAGTAGGTTTTATACACTCCTTTTCTAAACTGAATGATAAATTAATAGTGTTCATCACCAATATATGCTTTATGAAACTATAAAAATGCATTAACATTGGTAGAATGGTTATCTGTCACAACAGCTTACCATTCTAACAATCTTAAGTTCTGATTGGTGTATTGAGGTAATACACTCATCAATTTCTTTTTTCAAACATAAACCTGTTATGTAAACATTAGGTGAGGATTTTAAGATAAAAACAAAAACAACTTCTTTATAAAGATTATTTTCTCAATCTTCATCAAATTGTTTACAACTTTGATATTGAGCTGCTTTTTGGAATTACATTTAACCACAAGAAGCAGATAATCACTTGATAACAAATTTTTTTCAATAATATTTTTAATATAATATAGTTTTTTAATTTGTAATTTTCACGACTGCGAAACCATTTTAATTAAGAAATATGAAAATATGAAATATGATAAGCATTTATTAGGCAATGAAAAATTAAAAATTTTATTAACAGATATTGACCCCAAAACAGTTGGTATGTCTGATATTTCCTCGCCTATTTTGTTGAATTTTAATTGCTGTATGTATGAAACATGCAGCATAATAGAGTATTTACATTTCAAAATATTGTTTTGCAGTGTACATATTTTAAAGAAAAATCGATGTTTTATATCTAATAATTGCAAATATAATAAATACAATAATACAAACCTTTAAAATTATTTCCAATGGAGAGTTGCGGGTAGTTTTAGCAACATGTAAGGTTATCTTTAGTAGCATGTTGGTGTGTGTTGATATAGCTATCTGAAAGCCTATTTCAGTATTCTGTGTTATTGGAATAAACTGAAGCAGGCAATCAGTTACAAAAAATCCAGCACAAAATAATGTAAGTACTCTAATAAAATCTAACTATTATTAAACCATTTTAATAAAATAAGAATAAACCAATTATAGTGCAAACAAGACTCATAACCATAACGAAAATTAAGTTTTTATACTTGAGCCGTAAAAAAACTGACCTCTTAATTTTTTACGGAAAATGCAACAAATCAGGCCATGTAATTTAAGTAGGCCATGCCCTATTTTTTTAATTTTTTATCTTGTTTAGGTGGCCCAAGAAGTCCTTACGGTCTTATCACAGAGCACAGAGTATGAGCATTTAGTTAGAAGTTCACACCTCTTTCTTAACCGATGTCGCAAAATTTGCCCAAAGGTGGGGTTTGACCCACCTTTGTTTTTGAGGCAAGTGCGCTACCACTGTGCCACAGCTGCTTTTAGTATAAGTTTACATGCAGCTTTGCTTGCACCTAAGTTTGCTGCTTATGATATGAATTGATATATATATTTTTTTTTTTTGCAGGAATAAAATCCTTCTTTTCAAAAAATGAAAACTATGAAACAGATACTAGCTGTGGTTCATCCTCTGGTTCTTCGCTAACTCAAGATGATATTACAGAACCAACTACCTTAGTAACAGAAAATGCTAGTAAGTATATACATTTTTCATACACGTTTCTTAGCTCTAGTTCTGGCAATTCACATTTTTTTTTTTTTTATTGAAACAAAAGATTTTTGAATAAAAAGGTATCTGTAAGTTAAAGCTTTAATTACCCCACGCTTTCAGTACAGAAAAAGGTAAATTTGAGGGTTACATTAGAGAAGGGTGTAAAAATGATTCTATTTGATTCTTCCAGTATAATTCTACATATTTCATGCTAGAGTTGTATAATGTAACTCTATAACAATGTTATAGAGTTATGTAGAGTGTTGCAGAGTATAATTTACTTATTTGATTTATTTTTACAGGTATCATTTTTTTTTGTTGCAAAATAAAATGTTTTTTTTTTACCTTATTTACCAATACAAATTTTGTGAAATCCAAGACAGTTGTTGTGAAAGGTCTTGTAAAAGATGACTACTTTGTTTTTAAAGCAAGAAATGGTACCAGATCCTTGTTTTTGATTTGCCTTTTTTTTTCTTTCAAAATCAAATTATCTAACTCATCTTTGATCTTTGAAATTAACGTTTGGTTTTAAATAATGAAATCCTTGATTAAGTTTGGATTATTATTGAAAACTTATTTCTACTTTATTTATTTCAGATCATATGATCAATTTGATTATATTCCTTGTGTTTTATATAGCATATAATCAAATTGGGCTATCTGGTTCTCTGAAAAAATGAATTAAAAACGTCGCAAAAGCGCTTCACAAATTTTTACTGTGTTTATCCAGGAACATTAAAAGTATACTTAGATATGTTCCATATTAAATTTACATATAAACAAATTAGATTACCAATCGTATTTTAAATCGCAATAAATTATGTTTTTAAAATCTATTTAAAAACATAATTTATTGCGAATTTACTAAATAAAATTTTGATAATTGACACGTTATGAACATTTTACATGTTTATTTTTTAAATAAACAGGTTATCAAGATTTTGAGTAAACACTGTATGAAACAGGTGTTGTTGTGCATTGTGTTGCAATCTTTATATAATGCACAATGCCAACATCTGTTTCACACAGTATGACATGTCATGTTAAATAGTTTTTATATTATCATCATCTTAAAGTAAATTATTTTATGTAAATATTTTTTTCCTTTTTGTTATTTATTTTTTCCTTTTGCTGCCCTGTAAAAAAAATTTATTATTTAATGATATTGTTTAAAAATAAAACAATAAATTAAATTTAATTTTTTACATTTTAAATTTATAATTTATTTTTTTATAGTTTTATTTAGTAACTCGTATATAAAAAAAAAAAAACTGTTTTTTCAGTGCGACAAAATTATAAAACACTTTTTTTAAAAAAAGGCGGTTTTCGCTAAAACTTTTTGCGCAAAAGAAAAAATGCATTATGAATAACTTGCTAAACTGTACGTAAATTAGTAATCACACCTGCTTCTGCAGCAATTTGACGTGCAGTCAATAAAGAATTTAAAGCTTGTCTCAACAACCTTCGCCTATCACGGTCACTTAATGTTGATGGACCTCCTGGTCTTTCTTTGCAATTGCTCACAACTGTGGTTTGTAAGCAAAGCGTTTTTTGTTAAAGTATCTTATGATTTTAATAACGAGTTCCGTTTAAAATAATTTTTTTTAAATGTTGCAACTAGCAGTAAGCAACCCGTAGTACGAGTTGTTAGTAAATAAAATTAAAAAAAAAATCGCGTATAGAAAAGCCTAGAAACTACTTTAAAATAGAAAAGCCTAGAAAACGACTATTAACTACTATTAAATTAGCGTATTAATATTATCAGATAAAAATTAGTTTTTAAATATAAATATATAGTAAAGTTTTATAAATATTTTTGGGGTGTCTTATCATTTTGTCGCGCAGTGTAAATGTGTGAGGCCCTTTTGTTTAAAGTTAGTGTAAACGTGTGAGGCCTCTTGTTTAAAGTTGCCTTTTTATTAAACATACTTTTTATATTTATTAGGTCTTGTAAAAAAAAGTAAATTTGTGAAGTAAAAAGTAAATTTGTTGTCGGTTTAATTTTTAATTCACTTCTAGGTAATAATGAATTGATCACGGAAGATAAAGAGAATTTACTACCGTCTTCAGGTTCTTCCCTAACCAATACATCTGCTTCATCTTCGTCATCATCATCGAGCAGTACAAAAAGAGTTTCAAAAATCGATTCAAAAAAAAAGCGAAGAGTAGTTATGGATGACGAAAGCGATTAAATAAAACATGCCTACTCATCAAAAAACATTAAAAATTAATCTTGCTTATTTATGAAATATATATATTTTTTACTTATCTTTATAAATTACAAATCACTGCCTAACGTTTTTTTTTTTTTTTTTTTTTTTTTTTTTTGTCTAAAGGTTATTTGTTAATTTGAAAATGGAAATTGGTTATTTTGAAAAAAATTATTAGTTAATTTGAAAAATTATAATTAATCATTTTAGAAAAGTTTTGCGATACCTAATTTTATTGGACTACAAACTTTATACCGGCAATTCCTAACTTTATAGATACGTTTCAAAGTATAGCTATACTTTGGAACGCGTCTATAATTTATCCTTTCTATACTTTGGCGGAGAATTTTTGCTTTGTGGTGTAGAGTTTTAAAGAAATCAAAGAATAAAAATTTTTTATCTGTCTTGCATTAGATTATTAATCGGTATATTTTTTATCTATTAGCTAGCGTCTTGAACCTGCACCTTCATAAAAAACGATTTTCGATTTATGACAGGCCACTTCAGATGTTGATCGGCGAACTTTTTTTTTTTTTTTTTGCCAACAAAGAAGCCTTTAGTAATCAGCGCGCTCTCTTAAACACCTACATACAGGGTGTCACTCATTTAATTTAAGGTGATTTTTGATAAAACCAACAAGCTCGCGCACCTCAGCTCCGTTAAAACCTTGCATAATGACATTAAAGTTTGGATCACCAATTTACTTAAACCATATTTTGTTACTCATTTAGAAAAAGTTTTGTCATGTAACTTGAGCTTTGAGTTTAAGGTCTTCCAAAATTAGAACTTCTAAAACTCTTTCTAAATGAGGTAGTGCAAGTGGCAAGTTGTTATGTCCTGGCATGAGCTTGTTGGTTTTGGTTGCAGATAAAAATAGTTTGCTTTTCTTCCTTTTATGACCTCGCATAATGTACTTTAATGATGATGGGCGACTCAGTTGAACGTAGAAGTTTATTTCATCAATTTTTTGCATGTATTTAAAAATCTGAATTATATCACCTCTTTCTTTTCTTCGAGTGTTGTAACGCTTAACATAGCTCTTTTCTGCTCAGGGGTTTTATGTTTAATAAAAGAAACTGTTTTGGTAACATGGTTTTGAACATTCCCCACCGCGTTTATGTCTCCCTGTTGGTATGGTGACCACGCTTACTCAAGGTGAAGTCAAACATACTTGGTTGTACAGTACTTTTTACATTTGTAAAATACGACTAAGATAAGTTTTTTTAGCCTCCCTAAGGATCGGTTAGCTTTTGCAGCTGCCGTAACTTGAGCTTTGAGTTCAAAATTAGAACTACCAAAACTCTTTCTAAATGAGTAATTTCAAGTGCAAGTGGCAAACCGTTATGTCCTGGCATGAACTATTTTTGTGTTGATATTTTCTAATAATATTAACACAAGAATATTAAGAAAAGTTTTTTATATACTTAAAAATATTAAACGTGATAAAATGGTTTAATAATACTCGAGACAAAAAAGATATTACTTTTATCTAGTTTGACAGTAACTTTTTACATAATGAATTATAGAAAATATTTGTAGGCATAAAGAAGTGAGAATATTTTATAGGAATTTTTTATTTTTTTTCACTTGAACTTGCTGCTGGATTGGACTGAATCGGACTGCGTACTACTTAAGTCTAATAACAATCAGTCTAATAGTTCCTACCGGAACTGGTAAAATTAAGAATCTTAAGTAAGCGCCACCGCGGAAACGTCCTTGCTCAAAATGTGCGACAGCGTTCATGATAATAAGTACTACAACATCTGTGCCAGTACCAGATGTTTGGGAAATATTTATTTGGATGTAATCACCTGTATTTCAAGTTTTTGACCACTTCCTGATAAATGCTAATTGCTTACAGGTATTATGCAAATAATAACAAGCACTCTTTATTCGGTAGACCTTGTTCACTGTTTTCATTTGGATTTACCATTTTGTAAACTCCTTAAGCTTTGTGATTAGTAAAGGAGCTTGTACATCACATAGCCTTTTAAGAGTGTGTTTTAGAAGATCTTCTAAGAGTGTGTTTTAGAAGATCTTTTAAGAGTGTGTTTTAGAAGATCTTTTAAGAGTGTGTTTTAGAAGATCTTCTAAGAGTGTGTTTTAGAAGATCTTTAAGCGCTACTTTAGAAGATCTTAAACGCACTTGCTTCAGAAACAAAGGATCCGTGGTTCAAACCCCACCTCTGGGCAAGGTTTGCGACATCGGTTAGGAAGGAGGCGTGAACTTTCGATTAAATGCTCATAGGCGGTGCTCTGTGATAAGACCATAAGGACTACTTGGGGCACCTAAATAAAATAAAAATAAAAGGCGCTGAATAGTCATCTACATGAATGTTCAGCTCAGCTCGCTAATTCATTTATCTATAACTAGACATCTCATGAATTCTTCAGCATCATTTTTTAAAATTTGGTATGTTGATTTAAATATATCACCATCAATGATTCGTGCTAAAGCTTCATCAAATATTTCTCAGCAGCTTCAATGGGGTTTAATTTCAAATTTCAACAGTTTTTGTTTTAATTTTGTTGCATAAAGTAATTTAGGTCTAGGTAAACTATAAATAACATCTTTAAGCTTTTTTGTTCTGCTACAAGCTTTTTCAAAAAATTTGTTACCAGCTTTTTTAACTTTTCCAACTTCATTAACTGATAATGTAGCATTTAATGTACAGTAGGTATATTGAAAATATTAAGACAACCAGTTTTCATTACTTCTTTTAAAAGGAGTATTATATAAAGTTTTATAAAGTTTTTTCAGAATCCTCTTCAGAAACTAGAAGGGTTAACATCGATGAAAAAAGTTCTCTAAAGTTTTTGTACAAAATAAAATTAATAAACTTTTGAAATTTTAAAGCCAGTTTAAGTGTAAATGTTGATCTTTTTTTTCCGTATAGTTATACTTTAAAATAGTTTAATAAACAACTTCCATAGAAAACTGATAGAACTTTTTGAGACCATACTAATACCACAAAGAATTAATTTTTCGTAAAAGTAGTACATGTTAATATCATTAAAAAGCTCAAGGCTAACTTTTTTCCGTTTCAACATATTTCGGTCATACCAGAAACACTAAGGTATTGAGCTGGATCAAGACCGTAATAAGTCATTGTAGTTTTCAAAAACGTCGGTTAACAGCTTTATATTAGTCTTAAAATAAATATCGTGGTAATCGTCGTAAGTTTTGCAATGAAAAGCTTTCTAGACACTGCATGATGATAGTCTTTAACCTTAACTCAGCTCCTTGATAACAGTTATTAGTTTATACGAAATTTTTATTTGATATGTATTAGATCTAAGGAATATGTTTGATACATATGAAGAGAGAGCATTTAATATATTGAGACATAAAACATATAGAAAAATACGCAAAAGAAAAAGAAAATTAATTGCAGATGAAAAAAGAGAAGGATGAATAAACTTTGAAATTCGAGAGTAATAATTAACACATATTATTCTACTATTGATAAACTACAAACAATGAGTTGGATACCCTTTTCAGAAGCCAAAGTGTTTGCTGAATAAGACATCATGTTTTTAAAGGTAACTATATAGTCTGTTACACATTATTATGTATAACAACTCAAGTAAATATACATTATTATGTTATACATTGTTATGTATAACGCTCAAGCAACTTTGAAACCAAGAAAGAATAGATATAGGTCTGTAGTTAGATGGTATAGAATCGTCACCATTTTTGTATACCGGGGCTACTCTTTTTATTTTTAATTGACAAGGAAAAATACCAGTTGTTATTGATTGAAGATAAAAAAAGAGGTAGTTTAATAACAACAAAAATAGCTTTTAGAGCATTAACATTAATTTCCTCAAACCCAGTATTTTTATAAAATAATAAATTATTTATTAAAGAAATATTTTTATTTTTTTTTCAATACTATTTTTTTATAAATAAAAATTTGGTGTACTCTTTTGATTATAATATTTATTAAAAAAGGGCACCGCTTAAAAGAACAGTGCCCCAGGGCGCCAAAAATATAAATACGTTTCTGATCTCAAGCTCATACTATGGAGTTGTTTTATTACCTTAACATTATGGCCAAGATAACCATACTTCAGTTTTAATGCTTAGAGGAATATCTACGAAATAAAAATAAACTGTAACATATGAAAGTTCATTTTATAGAGGGGCAAATAACCTGTCAATGTGGAGATCTTTTAAAATAAGCTGTACTAAAAATTATAACTTTTCCAGTTTAAATAAACATCCATATTGTTCCATTGATTTTTTAGCAAATGTGCCACATTTATCGAAGAATACAAGAACATCTCTCTTATGTAACAACCTTATGTAACATTTCATAATTACAACTAGAATTAAAAAAAAAAAGTTTTATCACTAGTTATAGATTCAAAATTTATGCAAAAGCTTGTTGACATTTTAAATATGGATTTGATGTTTGCTTATAAACTTTTCTTGATAAAAAACATTTCAAAAAAATAAATGTATAAAGAGTATTATTTTGTAATAATATAACATAACATCTTGTTTTAAGTTATATTTAGACAAATTATATTTAAAAGGGCATATTTTATTTTTGGTTAAATAAATCTGTATATTGGCTAATAATTGGTTAATAATTGGCTAATAATGGGTAATAATTGGTGAAATTTTAGAGTATAGACAGAAATTCTGTTTGCAGATGGAATTTTAAATATTCCTGTTTAATCTATTTCAACAGTTCAAATAATAACATGAATTATTTTTTAATTTATTAATTGGTCAAACTTCCACCCTAAACTGTTTTTTAGTTGGTTGTTATAAAAATAAAACATTTTATTAATATAGCGGAAATCGAAGAAACGCATCTAAAAAGCGAAAGCGAAATTATTAGTACTTAATTTTTAAAACCAAAACCAACTCAAAGCCTTTCTGCTCTACACACTTAACTAAACATTTTTTAGCATCACTGCTTTGGCTACATTTTACATTTACTAATATTTTTCAAGTAAATATTTTTCACCGTCAAGACCAACCCGCTGTCGTTGGCTCTGCCATTAAGATCAATTACAAAAAAAAAGTGATATATTACTATGATTAATCAACATTAAAAAAATATATTACATATTACATTAGCACAAAGTATATTACATATTATTTTAGCACAAATATAAAAAGAATGTGCAATAAAAATATTTTAGGGAGCGTTAAAAATATTGAACAATTCTTGTCTTCTTTTTTAAAAAAAAATTATTTTCTGTCTTTTTGTTTCATTACATTCCTTCGACTCCCCTCACAGGAAGACTAACTAATGATTTCACTGATTCTAAAAAAAAAGAAGTTAAAAATAGATTAAAAAAAAAAATTTATGAATAAAGTATAAATATTTTCGAAACATTCTACTATGTTTATTCTATGGCTAGGTTGTTAAAATGAACAATACAAATTATTGGAAATGTTAATACTATTTATATGTGGTTGTTATAAGGTTGATAGTTTTATATTTTGGTGAGAAATTAACTAAATTCGCAGCTTATTTTCGATAAATCGAGATTTGCAAAGCCGACGATTTAAAAAGTCTGTTTATTCTCGAGTCCTTAATAAAAGGAAAAAGAGGGAGGGGGTATTTTATATGTTACAGTAAGTATTTTAAATAAAAAATTTCATTTTATAAATCCGAACTAATATTTTTTACAAAACATGTACAAAACTACTTAAATTTAGCATGGCTTGCGGTCAAATGCGCATTTTCTAACAGCTGTTTTTATAATAATTTCAATAAGATTTAATAAGTTTTATACTTTGGTGAGAAAAAAATTAAAAGCTCATTTTCAATAAATCGATATTTACTTTGCCAGTAATTATTAAATTAAAAAACGGGGAGCCTTAATAAGTTTGTGGTAGGTGGAAAATTTTTCAAAAATTAATAAACGTCACTCTTTTAATAGGCACTCGAGAGCTGAAAATTTTTGCTTTTATCGGTGACTGAAATAATTTTCTTTTAACGCTGAATTTTACTGATTTATTTTTTGAGTTATGATATAAAGTTTTTGTCGATACCAAGTAAAAATTAATGAACGAGGGGTGGTCTTATTAAGCTTAAAGTAAATTTTCCAAAACTAATAAGCTTATAGTAACTTTTTAAAAAATTAATAAACGTCTATCCTCTTCAGTGGCGGATTGAGGTTTAGTGTCGCGGGGGGGCCAAGTCAATAAATAGGGGCGACCGGGGTTGCCTTCAGTAATTTAATCTTATATATAAATATATATATATATATATATTTTTTAATTGTTTTAGGGGGCGCCGCTAGACCGTTCTAGGGGGGCGTGGGGGGCAGCTCGCCCCCCACGCCCTATACTAAATCCGCCACTGATCCTCTTGTATTAAGGACTCGAGAGTAACTAACTCGGTTTAGAGCTTATATCAGTAAAGCAGGCGATGCCAACCAATTTAAAATAAAATATCGACTGGGAACACTTTAATAAAAAATTAAAATACTATACCAGATTTTGTGGGATCATTTATAAAATTCCTGATTATTTACCGAACTTAAAAAAACAACAAAAAAATTAAGACCTGCAATTAGCTAAAAACAAATCTTTTTTTTCTTGATTTTTTCCTACTTCTTTTTAGTTGAATAAATATAGTTCAAAATAACTTTAGGCTATTTGTACCAGAACCCGGACTCATCCGGTTTTCACGATAACCCAAACCACAAACGCTATTTAAGACTTGTGTCTTGTGCCAGCACAATTTATTGTACACGGTTTCTCCATATTTCATTTAGATGGTTTAGACCATGCTATGATCTCACTAAAACCTTTATCTAATGCTTCTTCAAAGAATCTATATATAGATCTATATCAAATCTACCCTATGGTCGTACATCTTACAACTATTCTTGTTTTCTTCTTAATGGACCTCAAGCCGACTCTGAATTGCGTCTTCTTTGCACCATCAGCAGGGGCGGATCCAGCATTTTTTGGTGTTTGAGATGGCTAACTTCCAGACATGGAGCGAACTCCAAACATTTATATGTTTATACTTATATCAAATAAGGATGGTTTGCAAAAAATTGCGATGATTGGAGCCTGGGAACAAAAAAAACCCAAAATTTGAGACGTACCTGCCCCAAACGTGAGAGCAACAAGATGATAAAATATTTTTTGTACTATTCTCAACAAGACTTATTTATCCATAACTTTTAAATTTTATTGTAAAATATTTCAGCATTCAAAAATTATGACCATGTAAAGTTTGAATCCCCCTCAAATCGAGGGGGTTACAATTTTTATATGTTCATAATTTTTGAGTGCTAAAATATTTTACAATGGAATTAAAAATTTATTGATAAATATAAGTCTTGTTGAGAATAGTACAAAAAATATTTTATCAACTTGTTGCTCTCACGTTTGGGGCAGGTACGTCTCAAATTTTGGGGCTTTTTTGTTCCCAGGCTCCAATCATCGCAATTTTTTGCAAACCAATGCGGTAGTGGTGTAGTGGTAGAGCGCTCGCTTCATAAACGAGTGGTTCCGAGTTCGATCCCCACCACGTCCCTGGTAGTACCGCGCTCAACTCGTTTCTCCGCGCAGCGGCCTTGTTCGTCAAGGTTCGTGTTTCGGAGTTATAGAGTTGAGAGAGGGTTATAGCCACAAAATAAGTAGCCTCCTCGTTTGTAGTGGCCTTCTCGGCCTTGAGGAGGTGAAGTAAAATAAAAAAAAAAAAAAAAAAACCATCCTTATTTGACATAAGTATAAACATATAAATGTTTGGAGTTAGCTGCATGTCTGGAAGTTAGCTATCTCAAACACGAAAAAATGCTGGATCCACCCCTGATCAGGAATATGATGAAGAACAGGATCTATTGCTGGTCAAAAGAGTTAAAGAATGTTTTAGTCATTGTCTTAATTTAAGGCGAAAGTTAGAAATATATGAAGTTAGAAATCTAAGACGAACTCCTGCAAAATATATGAAGTTAGAAATCTAAGACGAACTCCTGCGAAATATATGAACTTAGAAATCTATAACAAACTCCTGCGAAATATATGAACTTAGAAATTTAAGACGAACTCCTGCGAAATATATGAAGTTAGAAATCTAAGGCAAACTCCTGCGAAATATATGAAGTTAGAAATCTAAGGCGAACTCCTGCAAAATAAAAGAAAGTAGAACAACTTTCCAAACAAAATTTATTTGGAAAGTAAAACAATTTTCCAAACAAAATTTATTTGAGGTGGCTTTTATTGAACATTGTCCAACAAAGAAAAAATATTTGTCGCACAAAATAGGCGAACTATTAACTGGGTTGGATTTACCTATTATTTTTGTTTCGAAGGAATACGCTTAAATTTAGAAAGTGTAATAAAGAAACTCACAAGTGTTTTTTAAAACTCATTACAACTTTTAATTTTATTGCATAACTCGAAAAGTTCTTGACTGCAATATTTCTATTACACAAATGGTACAAGATAAAAACTTTGACATTTGCGATGGTTTAGGTGTTATAATAATATAATAGTTGTTGTCTGTTTGAAAATCTTGAAAATCTTTGCTTACACTTGAAAATCTAATAAACTCAAAAAGTGGTATGATACAAATCTTAAGTTGATGTTGCAGGAGTTAAGTCAAGAATATCGAGTCGTCAAATAAATAGAAATAGAAATAATGCTATTATTCAACTTCAGATTAGGGGTCTTCCATAAAGTACGTGCGCAAGTATGGGGCAGAGGATTACCCCAAAACGTATAGATACGTACAAGGGGGGTGAGATGCTAAAAACAGCGAGTACGTATGCGGTTTAACTATCTTAAGTTCTCTATATCTTCTATAATTTGTTATCTTTTTTTTTAAACAAACATGTTACAATTTTACAAGTTTAAAAAATCATTTTTATGTAATGTAATAAAGACTTGAAATATTTTTGTTGTTGTTGCTATATTTAAAAATATAGCAAAAGCATATAATGGCTATTCAAATAATACGTGACATTCTTAGATAGGTGGTGGTGGTGAAACAAGCTCGAAGATAAATTTGTTTAAAAATGTCACGCCACGAAGAGGGCGGGGAGGGAGTCACATTTACAAAAGGAGGGTGGGGGGGGGGTTGAGTCTAAAAACAGCAAAAATATCTTAGTATTTGAATAGTCCCATATAGCATAAACGTGCAATTACTTTTAAAATTAATAGCATATATAGCATAAACAGTCTTTCAACCTATTTTGAATATCTATTAGCGAAATAATCAATAATCAAAAAATTGAACGAATAAGAGATATCAATTATTAACAAAATGATTCACATCTATTATTGAAAATATAAACATTAGAAGCACTCAATAAGAACTAATTGGGGCATATTTAACCAAACCTAAATGGGTAATATAAATTGTATTATCCTGAGCTTATATAAGATAACTATTTGGCTTCCTGTATGATACCAACAGTGAATGTCTATTGGTTTTATTTAATCATTCAAATAATTGTATACTACATTTATTTTAATACTATAATTTTGAATTGTTTATTTAATTATTTGAGTAGATAAAAAATCAATTATTTTAGACTTTATTTTTAGCTTTTTCCTTTCTTAACAGTGATTAACCTAGAGTTTATTTTTGAGAGTTTATTTTTGAGATACCCTTTTGATGTAGCGAGTTTAACCCTAACCCTGCCACAAAATTTATTTGTAAACATCACTGGCTGAATAAAGTAGCTAAAATATACAGAAAACTAACATCTGAAAGAACTTTTTTTTCTATTTTAAATATAAAAAGAAAAATAACAGAAATTAATATTTTGAGGCATTTTTTTGGCGCCCATACCGGTCCTATGGTACCAAAAAAGGTCTGGGTTCACCCCTGCTCAGATCATACAACTTGTCTAGCATAGTTTCAAGAAGTTAAAACGAAGTACTTTAGTTAAGCATAAAATTTCACATTCATAAAATGTGCTAAATTAAAGTATTTTGTTTAACTACTTGTTTTAACAATCTCACTTTTCATACACTAGGGTAAAGAAAACATCATAATTATTGTCAAATTTTCTTTTCAGTGGTCTTGTTTTATCACATAATTGACTTGAATCAACAACACTTTTATTTGCTTTAAGGAATGACACTTTCATTAAAAAAATTTGTTCAATAAGTTCAAGAAATACTATTGATTGCATTCCAGTTTATTTATAAATAAAAACAAACTAAAACTATTTATAAACAAAATTCAAATTGTCAGAAATATAAGGAAACATAAACAAAAGTTAAACAACTTTTCCATAACATATTATGAAAAATACATTGTTGCTGGTTGACTACCTTGTCAAAATAAATCTACCTTCGTAACTTCGATGCGTACACTTTTTAGGAAAATGTTGTAAATACCGTTTTTTAGACTTTTTGCGTAAGTAATAACTTACGCAAAAACTTAAGACTTACGTAAGTTTATGCTTACGCAAGGTTTGTGAATATGACTTGAACTTAAGCAAAACTTAGGCAAACTTAACGCAAATTTAGGAATTACGAAAGAGTTGTGAATCCGCACCCAGTTTTTTTTTTTTTTTAATGTTTCGAACAGATAATGCGTTGGGGAAGGGGGTAATTTTGTAATAAATAATGCGTACGTACGCATAGAAGGTGGGGGTAGTTAAAAGTAGGAATGTACCGGAATTCCGTACCAAATTTGTGACTTTAAGGTCATTTCGATTCCGGCCGGATTTAAAATATATTTCAGGCCGGAATGCTAGAATTTATTTTTTACCTTTTAGTTTTTAAAACACGTGACAGACTGAGTAAACTAAATCAAAAAATCATTGTCCTACAGGGCATTGAAGAATTATAGGTAGAATTAAGTAAAAAAATACAAAATTCTTAACAAACACTATGTAATTTTATTTGCAGTAATCAATTATGTAAGGATTTCTATAAGTTTAGAAATATTGCGCTGCAACAAAAAGTTGCTCTCTAGTTTTGGCAACAAACTCTTTTTGTTATTGAAGATGTTGAGACTGCCTCTGAGAATAGTCTCATTTTAAATGTTACTTAAATTTTAAACAATGAAAAAGTATGGGATGCCTAATATAGAAAATATTCAAATTTTAATCAAAATGTAAAAATAGAAAACAAAGAAATGATTTTAATTTTTTTAATTTAAAATTATAAGAAACAAATAAAAACAACATATTAGATTTAAATGAAACAAGAATCAAATTAATGAAATAGGTTATATATATATATATATATATATATATATATATATATATATATATATATATATATATATATATATATATATATATATATATATATATATATAATATATATATATATATATATATATATATATATATATATTAGGGCCCTGCGAACCGGCAGTTTTTGTTTCGAATCTCGAATCAAAGCAGGTCAGATTCGCGATTTCGACATTTTAAAGTCTAAATTTAAGCATTTTTTATATAATACATATTTCAAAATAAAATAAAATAAAAAAATTATATTATCTCTTTATTGATACTTCTTGTCCTGGTTAACTTTTTTGGTGACTGATTAAAAAGGTATTTAAGGATGAGTAACGTTATTTTGAAAGCGTTGAAGCGCAGAATATCTAAAATACTCACAACAAAAACATAATAAGGATTCGATTTTTAGAACCGCATTTCGAATCATTTTTTTGATTCGATTCAAAATTTCGAAGCTTCGCAGGGCCCTTATATATATATATATATATATATATATATATATATATATATATATATATATATATATATATATATATATATATATATATATATATATATATATATATATATATATATATATATATATATATATATATATATATATATTAGTAAGTATAATTCTCAGAATTTTATTAACAATTCCGGCAAATCCAGTTCCGGCCGGAATTCAGTTTCCGATCCGATGCACCACTAGTTAAAGGCACACATTTACGTACAAGTGGAGGGGGTCCTTAATAAGTGGTTTTACTGCGTACGCACTTTAAGAATGTGCCATTATTCTAAGAATTGTTAACCATACAACTTATCGATCATCTGATAAGTTGAAAAATCTTGCATTGTTGCATATTTACCAAAAAATACAACATGTTTAAAATTTAATAGACTTATTTGCACATGAAAATTGGAGATTTTAGTTTGTTTTTATTTATAAATAAACTGGAATGCAATCAATAGTATTTCTTGAATTTATTGAACAAATTTTTTTTTTACACTCGCGTACTTAATAACAAAGGGTGGTGGGAGGAGTATAAAAAAGGTGGTGGGAATTTTAGTCGATATCAAGTAAATCGTCAGCCTTTAGTATTAACCTTGTTAATCCAAGTTAATACTTTTTACAGAACATACATAAAACAATTTACTTTTAACCTCGTTTGAATCGAACAATTTAACATGAGGTCTTCTAAATCTTAAAATCCGTATTATTTTAGTCGTACAATACATCAAAAGCAGTACCTAGTGAAGGTATTTCACTGAAGTATGCACTGAAAAAATTATATATTATTTGTGGTTAATTCTAGCTTGCTATGGAAACTCGAAGGTTTATAACTTTTACTATACTACTATATAGGGTGACTTTGGCCCAGATCTCTAAGTGTAATAAAAAAAAATGCTATGAAATAACTATGATTTTATTTTTAACTATAACGAGGAGCCAAAATGAGTGTATATATATATATATATATATATATATATATATATATATATATATATATATATATATATGCATATATATATATATATATGCATATATATATATATATATATATATATACATATATATATATACATATATATATATATATGTAGATGTATATATATATATATATATATATATACATATATATATATATATATATATATATATATATATATATATATATATATATATATATATATATATATATATATATATATATATATATATATATATATATATATATATATATATATATATACGTGCATACGCACGTTCAATGTGAAAAGTAATGTTTATTTGGCACCTCATGATAACAAACTTTATTCTTCACTTTGATATATTATTTGAAAAATAAATAAAATTTTAATAAAATAAATAATAATACAAACCTTGTCTGATACGAGGGCTTGAATTCTTTATATTTCTTTTCCTCTGGTTGTATTTCCATAATACAAGACGAAAAACCATCGATAACAATGGGTACCACACAATGATTTGCAAAATAACCTTAATACTATTTCGTAAATTTTCACTTGCGAAAAAGGGAACACTTAGAATTAAACAAAACAAACTTACAACGCACATCAAAAATAAAACCGATATATCCCAATAGTTAAATGATCGATTTCTGTATGGCTGAAATATAGAAAATATTGTCAAAAAAGTGACAGACGCTAAAGAAAGGAAAACAAGTTTAGTAACTTCATTTTGTACAACAACAGAGATTATTAACATTATAACTCTGCAGATAAAATAAAATGCAGCAAACATTCGCTGGTAGTAAGATTTGTTTTCCACTTGGCATTCCTCATAGCGATTACCAATAATTTTTGATTGATTAAAGCAACTTTTCAATGCTTCAAAAACAGGCGCAATATATTTACCTTTTCCACTTGTAGGAGTGAAAATCAACAAAACAAAAAATAAAAGAATTATTATTGCAAAACACACTGCAATTATTCCTAAGAAGATATGCATAGGGTCACGAAAAAATTCAGTAAAAGTTGCTTCAAAAACATAAAACTTTCCGTCAATCTTTACAGGGTGAAGAAGTTTGAGCGTAACGGTAATAATCTGTGAAAAAGTGACAACTATAACAAAGCTCATTGCTCTCCCATAAGAGGATTCTCGTCTCTTACGACATTGTTCTTCATTTAAACTTTTATCTGAACTGCGACAAAATAATTTTATCCAAACAGAAGGTGAAATTAACACTCCAAAAATTAAAGCAATTAATATAAAAAAAATTGGGGGTAAGTAATTTAATCCAAGTTTAGTCAAGTTATTCATTCCATTAAAAAAACATAATCCAACAGTTCCGCCAGTTCCAGTTAAAGAGAAAAAACCAATTAAAAATCGTGTAGATGAGTGAAGTTGTGTATTACCGGGAATAAAAATATCAACCATTTGATACCAATAAAAATAAACATTTAAATAACCAGAAAATGCATCAACATCAAAATGAAATAAAAATATTACCACTAAAAATAAAAAAAGTATTAATAAAGGAATTAGTAACAGCATCCAATAGTTATTGCAAATTTTACATTCTTCGCTAAACAAAGACACACTATATCCTTTAGAGCATTCACTACAAAGTCTTCCTTCACGATTTGAAGAACATTGTTTACTCTTATCAAACTCACAGTAATCTTCACAACCAATATAACACTTGCAATAAGATTTTGGACATACTATAGTTTCTAGCAAACCACTGCTGCTAAAATAACCCCATTTACCTCGAGGAATATAAAATGTACCATTATCAAGACACTGAATGACTTCTCCGACATCAGCAATACTTTTGCAAGGCAATTTACCATTTTTGCAGGTATTGATATTATTCTTATCATTTCCATTAACAGACAGATCGCATTGACGGTAAGTTAAAAATAGTACTAATAATATCACAGAATACATTTTTACATGCAGCTATTCATCTAAAAAACAATGTATACAACTTTTAAAAATAAAAATAACCATATGTTAAATATAAACGGTAACGACCACCTGTGATAGTAAATTAAAAATAAACTCTTAATGATCAAGATCCACTGTATCAGAGTTGTAAAAAAAGGAAAAATAAAAGCTGCCAAGATAAAAATAATAAACAAGAAAACACATGTTAAAAAAAATGTTTATAACAAAATTTTATTTAAATTATTATATATTGAATTATTTATTAAATACATAAAATTTTTTTAATACAAAACCAGAAGGCAAGAAATTTTAACTAAAATACTTAAATTAAGCAAATAACAGTTTTTATTATATTCATTTAAAGTTGATGGATATAGAAATAGTACTTAAAAGATAATTTGATAACATTAATAAACATTCATAACTATGAACAATTATTATGTTTACTAGGAATTAATTTAAAAGCTTGTGTGAGCTAATGTAAATTTATAATATAAAACTATTTTTTGTTAAGATTGGATTTATTTTGTTAAGATTCAAGTCGGACATGTGCAAAAAAAAAACATATAAAATTGCTTTTTTAAAGGTTTTGGAGGTTCTAAAACTACAAGAGAAAGTCAAGTAAAAAAGTTTTACAGTCTTAATTTAATCATTTTAAATATATGGTGTTGCTTGTTGTATTCCTAATTCTAAAACTCTCCATGCAGAATGGTGGTCGTATATTGACTGATCGCGACACATGGCCCAAACATAGTTAACACTCTCAATGTTATCCTAAAAATAATTAAATCTATTTTTAGACAGAATTTAGAGAACAATAAAGAAAATAAAAAATAATAAAAAACCTCTCCTCCTTCTATAATTTTTCCTTTTGAATCTTTCATGATACTCACTTGCTGAGCTTGAAAAGTTAAAATAAGAACAGGTCCCTGCTCCATTATTTTTGCCATGACAAGCTAAAAATATTATTCATTTAAACATTCAAATAACCTTATTTTAGACATTTTTAATTAACTTAATTAACAATCATATTAATAACGTTCAGACAACTAAATTTTACACTTGTGTTTCAAATAATTTGAAAAACTAAAGACAGGTTTACAAGTAATAAATTTTTATAAAATTATGCTGTGAGGTAACATTAATATATCTTGTAACTTTTTGTCTAGCAATACTTTCTATGTATTTATTTCTTATAATATTGCACTATATATATATTTCATATTTTATGAAAGACATTTTTGAGAGAAATATTTCTTGTTCTATAAGATTCTATAAGATTCAATGGAATGACATTGACAATAACTTTACGCTGAAGTTATGAAAAACACGAATTTCGACCAAAAAAAAAAGGGCCATTTTTAACATAGTACAAACCAAAGTTTTAAGTGAAAAAATAAAAAATAAAAATAAAAAAAAGTAAAAAATTTTAAAAACAAAAATAAAAACTATTAACAAAAGATATCATTTAACTATAATAGTGACTATTGATAGTGCCTTCATAGTATCACTTCGTAGTAACACTTGATAGAAACACAAAGTTTATTGATAGTAACACAAAGTTTCTTTAAAAAAATATTTGATAGAAAAAAGTTTTTTTATCAAAAACTTGCTTATGGATTATAAACTAATTATGATAATTTTTTTTTGCACTTTTTTAAATCAAATTATTAATTACTTTTATAACTAAATAGTTGTAATAAAACAAAAAAAAGTTTTTTTCTAATTATTTGATTTCAAAATTATTAAATAAGGTTTTATGTAAGTTTCATGAAACTCATGCAAGAGCAAAGAATGATTAGGTTTAAGAAATATTTGAACACATATTTGACTTTTATAAAAATTTGTCACACAAAAATCTTAAAAAAATAAAAAATCATTATTAGACTGAAATAAGAAAGAAACAATAATATCTGCAGCAACAATTATGACAACAACAATAAAAATGACAACAACAAAAATAATAATGACAAAAGCAACAATAACAACAACAACAACAATAACAACAACAATAACTTTAATATTAGTAACAATAAAATAATAATTAAAAAAAATTTTAAATTAAAAAAATTAAAAAAAAATACAATTTAAATATTTTGATTATGAAAATACAACTCATTACATCAACGTCACGAATATCTAGTATTCTTGATTCATTAACCAATCCCTGCGCAGAGTTATTTTTAATTTGTGTAGATAGAATACTGAACACCTTAAAAACATTAAAAAAATTATTAACTTGAGTTTTAATTTACAGTTTATAAATTAAAACAAAAATAAATACTATAAAACAGTTTTCATACCCCCTCATGACACCAATCTTGTAAACACTCAATATCTCCTCGAAGATATGCCTAGAATGGAAAAACAAGTTAAGCCATATAAAGATAATGATGATGATAATGATGATGATCATCGCAATCATCATCGCCATCATCATTATTAACCTCAAATAAATAAGTTTTTTTTTTCAAACAAATTTATTCTCAGCAACGTTAAGACTTAACAAAAAATCAGCAAGCAATCACTAATAAAGTTAACAAATCAGCAAGCAATCACTAATAACGTTAAGACTAACAACAAATCAGCAAACAATCACTAATAACGTTAACAACAAATCAGCAAGCAGTCACTAATAATGTTAACAACAAATCAGCAAAGCAATCACTAATAACGTTAACCAAATCAGCAAGCAATCACTAATAACGTTAAGACTAACAACAAATCAGCAAGCAATTACTAATAATGTTAAGACTAACAACAAATCAGCAAGCAATCACTAATAACGTTAAGACTAACAACAAATCAACAAGCAATCACTAATAATGTTAACAACAAATCAGCAAGCAATCACTAATAATGTTAAGACTAACAAAAAAAAAAGTTAAAAAGCTAAAAACAGAAAATCTAAAAATCAAAAAACTTAAAAAAACTGTAAATTGAATGAGTTAGAAAAACATGAAGAGGGAGGAGAATTATGAAGCTTTATTTTATAGAGGAAATTTTATAGATTTATAGAGGAAAGGAATAGAATCGAATCAGGAGTAGCAACCTTAGATGATGCTGACTACACATGGTTTGAATATGAAAGCAATGGTGAGGAAAAATCCATGATGTAAAAAAGAAAACTAAGTAAGAATATTGTCATCAAGTTACAAATACCTATATACTCAGAGAGCAAACATAAATGTGACCGTTTTTTGATTGGATGTTCGATTTTTATGGTTTTTGATGCCGTGTTTTTGCCAAAAAAAACTAACTGCGAATGAACTTGGTACTAAATTTTTGTTGAATATTTGTAATAGTTTAAGAAAACTAATGTGAATGTAATAAAAGTTCATGAAAAAGAATATGCTTTAATTCTTAATGAAATGTCAATAACTGAAACTGATAACTATGATACATATTAAGCTCATACTATGAAATTGTTAGATTACCTTAAATTTATACTATAATGTTAAGGTAATCTAAAGCTAACCATACTTTAGTTTTTATGCTTAAAGGAATATCAACGAGATGAAAATAAACTGTAACATATTATTATAGTGAAAGTTCTTTTTATAAAGGTGCAAATAACTAGTCAATATGGAGATCTTTTAGCATAAGCTGTACTTAAAGTTATACTTTTTCCAGTTTAAATAAACATCCATGTGACTCATCCATGTGAAGTTGTTCATGTTGTTCATGTGCTTCATTTATCGAAGAATAAAAGAACATCTCTCTTATGTAACAAACCTTTCATAGTTACAGCTGGAATTCAAAAAAAATATATATACTTCTATCACTAGTTATAGATTCAAAATTCCTGCACAAACTTGTTGACATTCTAAATATGGATTTGATGTTTACTTAGGGGTTGTCCATAAAGTATGTACGCTCATAGGGGGGAGAAGGAAGGTCTTCAAAAAGCGTACGAAAGCGTATGGGGGGAAGGACACAAAATTTTCTGCAAAAATTAAAGAGTATGGGTAACCTATCCTCGGCACTGGGTTTTAGGCGTTGTTTTCGATATTACTGATCTCGCGTAGGACTCATTTTAAATGGACTTACTAAATAGGGCGCTTAAAAAAAAAAGGCCTTAAGTATAATTTATTTTTATTTCATTCGTCATTAAAACAAAAAAAAAATACAGTTTTACTCAACCGGAGATCGAACACAGATCTCTGTCGCCTCAGTCAGCAGCACTAACTGATTGACCAAAGTGTAATTTAACTATATTAAAAATAATATTTGCATATATATTTGAAGAGGTTTTTTAAATTTGGATCCTGTGCCACAAACAAAGAGCTTTTGGGTTGTATAAAGTATCTAAGGTACCTCCTTCACCTTTATAATTCCCATAAACTTTTTCATTAAAAAAAAAAATTGGGGGGGGGGGGGGGGGAGGGTTATTTCAAAATCGTAGATACTTTTTTATTTTTACTTACAACTGCTTGATTTAACTGAATTATTGATATATGGTTTGCACTATGACATCACAAAACCTTACTATGGCTTATAGTATAAAAAATCGCTAAACTTACAATAAAATAAAAGCTTAATTCAATAAAATTTTAGAGGTATTATGTGGATTATATGTATTGAGCCAATGTAAAAAACTAAGATGGAAACTTATTCCATCTGCAGGCTTGGTCGGGAAGCGGGTGCGATCGCACTCGATAATTGACCACGGGAATATTATTTAGTTGCAAAAAGCTGGCCAGATTTTTTAGTCGTTTTGAGAATATTTCAAAAAAACACAAAAAAGCGCATTTAGATTAACTGGACCGATGAGAGACAGTTAAAAAAAAAAGAAAAGCTTTTAACGCTAAAAAACTTTAAGCAAAATCAATTTATTAAAGCAATTATTTTTGAAACGTCGCTCTTTTATAACTTTTTTAATAAAATTAACGGACATTTTTTATCTAAAGTAACAACTATAAAGAAACAAATGTTCTTCGATTTATCAAAGAATTTATATAATTTTTACTTATATACATATGTCTTATTTCCAGTGCTGGATTGAGGAGGCGAGGTGGGGGTAGTAGGGCTATAGCCCCGGGACTCACAGTGTTAGGGGAAATAGTTAGGAGGACCAATCGGTATTTTTTTTAGTCATTTTTAAGCTGTGGCACATAAAATGGCTGCTAAAATAATGCAGCACCCGGCCCTGAAAAGTCCAACAAGATTCAACCAGATTATTTATAAATAAAAACGATTTTCAATAACTGTTTTATGCTTCGCGTAGTTTAAAAAGTTCAACACATTTGAAAAAATTCTTCTTAGTAAGATAAACAAATGAAATAATTATATCATTGAGTTACTGTAGAAATTCAATTAGCTAGATAAAAATTAACAAAAAACGTTAAATTAATTTGTGAGGAAGAAGCGGAACTGCTTCAAATACTGCTGGTGATGTTTAGTAAATGGGCTTTATAATTTTAATTAGTATTTAAAACACTTAAGTATAACGAGTTTGTAAGAATGGCTGAAGCAAAAATAATTGAAGTTAGTAAACCAATTTCTAAGAACTTAAAAACTTTTCTTTTTTGGAAGAAAGCATCAGTTATCGGGTACACTGAGGAAAATGGATTAGTGGTTAAAATTTTCTGTATTAATTTTGACGATTATTAATAATTTCATTAAAAAAGCAGTTATTATTGAAAATATTTTCGTTTACATTTGAATAAATACACATACATAAAATAACATAATAAAAATACATTACATACATAAAAATACATTACACATACATGAAAAATACATCCCTTATATATAAAAAATAAGAATATACTTATAAAATCTTTAATATATTTACAAAACGTTGACAAGTTAAAAAATATAAATTTAAAACATTTATTATTGTAACCAAATAATGTTAGTTTAAAACATTAATAGCTTTGTAGATGTGGCTCCAAGAATTAAAATAGTAGTTCGTTTGATAGGATATTCTTAAAATAATTTATGCTAGAAATCTCAACAACAACGCAACAAAATTTAAAAAATACAATTTTTAAAAATATTTCAACAGAATACTCAGGACATTTGGTTAGTATTTTTTTAAATACTCTAGAAACTTCGATTAGTATTTTTTGAACCAATAGAATTAGTTGTTCGTAGATTTGGCGGGTTTTTTGTGTTCGCGAATATTCTTTTTTTATTTTTCCGCAGTAAGATGTTTGAGAACATTCAAGTTTATGTATGTTTCCATGTAAGTCCGTAAAGCAAAAGATTTTAAAGTTTACAATAAAATAAACTTATTTTTTTGCGGACAAACAAGGAAACATAGATAAACTTAAATGTTCGAAAAATGACTAAAAAACCTGGCCGGTTTTTCGCAACTAAATATTATTTCCGTGGTCAGTTATCGAGTGCGATCGCACCTGCTTCACGACCAAGCTGGAATCTGGTGTTATTTTGTCAACGACCAAATATTCTTTTTGACAAAAAAATCTTTAATATGAAATTGCGATTTATTCAAAACTACTGAAAATATATTTATAACTGGTACACTCACAAAACACATAATTCCTACAGCTTTTCAATACAAAAATGACTTAAAACTTACTTGAATTACTCAACTCTTAAAAACACGACAAATAAAATATATCAAATATCAAAGTGCAGTTACAATACCGTATAATGACCATCAATTCTTATTGTATTTTCTTGACTTAGTTAATAGTAAGGTCAATCCACAAAAAAAAAAGCACATTGTTTTACTCAAAGATTTGGATAAAATGTCAAGTTTAATCTTGAGTAGTACTGAGCAAAACTGTTTTTTTTAAAAACAGTTTTGCTCAGTATTACTCAAGGTTTAAAAAATTCAAACCTGTTATATTTAGCCTTAAGAAGAAAAAAAAAATGAAATAAAAAAATTATTTTGAATTTGGCAACAAGATATGACAATGCATGCATTGGCTTTGAAAGAATAGATTCAACGAAAACTAATAAAAAAATTGCAAAACTTTTGTCAGATCTTAACTCTTGTTAAGTAACTTATAATTAAAATGTTCTCCAATGTACAGTGGTATTAAATTACTAGAAATTTTTTAACGGTTTTTTAAAAAGAATTTATTTGTTTGTCAAATAAATTGTTTAATAAATAATTTAATTTAAAAAACTACAAAAAAATATTTAAATTTTCAAAACAAATTTTCACTTAAACCATGTTTTACAATTGTTTTTACTTAAATTCTTTTAAGTCACGCTCTAATTTGGCAATTCAAACAAGGCCGCCGTTTTCAGAGTATATAGGCTAACATTACTAATAAACATTTATAAACTATTAGCAGTAAATAAGGGTTCACCAGCCAAACAAGTACAAGCTGTCAGAGTATAAAAGAGATCAAATTCTTTCTATACTAAGTAATCAAAAAGATTTTTTTTCAAGACTGAAGTATATATTTGTATCATTGGCAAATGGAACCATATTAGAAATAAGATTATCAGGACCACTTTAGAGGTAAGATCATTAACATATGAGAAATAAAACAGGTCTAAAGACGGAACCCTGTGGAAACCCAGAAGTAATAGGAAATGCAAGAAAGACTTGTTCATTAAAGACAACTTCAAAATTTCAAAGAGTTCTGCCTTATTCTTGATAAAGGTAATAAAATCGGACCTTTAACAAAATATCAGACTTGCCTGCGTTAATGACATTCTTAAAAACTTTCTAAAAGTCTTTAAAACATAATTACTGAGATAAAATACAAGATAATTTTAGAATACCTTTAGCACCAGACAATACCTTTTTGCATCAATTTCTTACAATAGTAAAAAACGTTCTCCAGAGAGTTGAATCTGAGAGTAGCAACTTCAGAGAGTTGAGTCTTGTGAAAAAAATTTCAAAATGATTATGATTAGAAACAGCAGTAACACTGAAATAAAACCAGGATGAGTTGTGTAGGGTGAGTGGTGTATGATGAGGGTGTAGGGTGAGGTTTAACCTAAAATCGATGAAAAAGAATAAAAGCTTCAATACCTGTCCAAATCTAGGAAACAGAAGGAGTGTAACTTTTGGCTATGAGACTAAAAATATCATCCCAAGGACCATAGAATCCCAGTAAACTTTGAG